GGGGGGGGGGGGGCAGCCTCCTCTCTTGCCCCCCGGCGCGCGTGTAAGGGCCGAAGACCGGCGCGCGCGCCTGCCTGCCCCCGACGCGCATTCGGCACACAAAACGACCGGCCGACGAGGGGCCGGGCATGGCACCCTGCCTGTTGGTCGGCACGTCGCCGCCTGATGTTATGAATGTGCCGCAAACTGACAACCCGAGCTCGTCTGCTCTCGCGCTCCCTCCCCCCCCCCCCCCGGCTCGCACGCCACCCCCACCGGCCCTGGTGGTGTGTGTTGGCGACGGCCCGCCGCCGGCAGCCGTCTTCACGACCAGGAGGAGGCCGCCGCCCGGACGTCGGCCCCGGCCTCGCTCCGGTCCCTGAGCATGGCCAGCCTGCAGGCCCTGCACGAGCTGAGCCCCACCTCCCCCGGGCGCCTGGGATACAGCCAGATCGAGATGGACACCCTGGGCCCGAACGTGGAGTCCGCCGTCGCCGACGCGCCGGCCGCCGCCGGTGATGACGCCGACGCGAGTGACACCCCGTCGGGTGCCGACTCTCGTGGTGCCTCGGCTGAGTAGAGGCGAGCATATTTGTCCGCGCGTGTCTCTCCCTCTCTCCTCTCTCTCTCCCCCCCCCTCTGTCCCGCTCTGTCCTGTGGCCATGCACGCATCGCCTCGCGGGCTCGGCGCGCCGCGCCTCTCTCCCTCGCGCGCCGCGCCCCCCCCCCCCCCGCCGTGTGACACTCTCAGGTCCAGGAGAGAGGGGGTCCGGCACGCCGGCGTTTGGCCGCCGAGAAGGAGAGGCATCCGGCGCTCGGGCCCGCGCGCGCGCCGCCGCCGCCGCCGCCGCCGGACACATCTACGGACACACACGCGCGCGCAGGCACGAGCACCCGCGACCGTCGGCGCATGGCCCACTGTCGTGTGTGTCTCCCATGGGGGCAGGGTGCTGCCATTGGCGCAGCGCGCGCCACCAGGGAGGCGGGGCCATGCTTCTGTGTGCGCGTATGTGCATGTGTGTGTGTGCGTGTGTGCGTGTGTGTGTGTGTGTGCGTGCGTTTCTATATGTGGCCGAGTGCGCAAAGAGGAGGGGCGCGCGCCGCAAGGGGCAGGGACGAGGGGGGGGTCCCAAAAGACAAGTGGCCCGAAGAGGACCGCGGAGAAAAGGCCGGTGTGCGTTGTGCCACGGCCCTTCGGGTCTTTTTTCTTCATGTGCACGCATCTCGGCTCATGTGCATGCGTGTGTGTCGGGGCGCGCCCTGGTGTGACTGGGGCCGCGCCCGGCGGTGCGCAGCCGGGGGGCCAAGGCCGTGGTCCGCCCCCGGACGCGTACACATGCACGTATGCGTGTGGGGGGCGTGTGTCCGGCGGCAAGCGAAATCTAGGAGCACCGAGACTGTTCGGCAATATCCCCCCCCCCCACCTCCGTATATCCCCCATCAATAGAGTGTAATCAGAAGCCGCAAAATGGGGTCACAGGTCTGCTTTTCGCCGCCCCTTTTCTAAGCGCATTTGTCATGGCGCTCGCCGTCCATGCGTGAATGTGTGAATGTGCGTGTGTGTGTGTGTGCGTGTGTGTGTGTGCGTGTGTGCGTGTGTGCGTGTGTGCGTGTGTGCGTGTATGTGCCACACGCCCCAGCAAGAGGGAGGGACGCGTCCATCTGGGAAAACTGACAAGGGCGCATGTGTGGCCCCAAGAGGCAGGGTCGCATATGGGAAGAGGAAAGACACATGTTTGTTTGCAAGAGGAGGGGGGCCGCATGCGGACGCGTCCGGTAGGGCGGCATCCTGTGCTGTGTGGTTGCCCGAGGGGAGGGAGACAAGGACGCGGGCGAGGCCAGTACAGGGGGAAGAGAGGGAGAGAGCGCGCGCGAAAGGGGCGCAAGGGCAGGGGCCAGGCCCACATCGATGGGCGAGCGGGGCGACGCGCTCACTTGTCCTTGCTGGACTCGCCAGCCAGACCAATAGGCATGGTGTCGCCCGTGGGCGCGGGCCCCGAGCCCGACGCCTCGGGCAGGGCGAAGTCCCGCAGGTCCCAATAGCACACACCACTGGCGTCGACCATCTTGCCGATGTTCGGGTAGCGCTTCTGGAAGAAGGACAGCCAGCTCCGCAGGGTGTCGTACTGTGTGCGCATCACACGGTCAGCATGGGGGGGGGGGGGGGGGGGGGGGGGGGGGTCGGGGGCAAACGTCGGGTCCAAGGGAGGGGCCTAGGGAGGCCGACAAGACGAACCTGCTTCTCGGTGAGGCCGCTGATCTTCTGGTTGCAGTCCTCCACGGTGATGGTGCTGCAGGCGAGCGCCTGTGCAGCGGCCGACATCCCGGCGGCAGTGGCCGTGGTGGCGATGGTGGTGGCCGGAGGAGGGGGAGGGGGGGGGGGGGGGACATTTCATGAGCAGGGGCCGGCAGCGGGGCGCACAAAAGAGGGGCAGGGTACACACGCACGCGCGAGGCATCGCGGCCGGCATAGACACTGTAGCTGCCGCCCGGGCCGTAGAAGCCCGGGCGTTCGGACACGTCGAACACGTAGCCGGCAATGCCGAGGTAGATCTTGCCCGGGGTCTGGACACCGTCGAACTTGCTCAGGCTCTCCACGGTGTAGGGGACCAGCTGGTCCTTGGGCAGGGACTGTCCACGGCGTGTACGCCCACGCGAGAGAGGGGCAGACAGGGCGGCCAGTGGCCGCAGGGGAAAGGGCATTAGCAATCGGGCTGGCCAGTCAGGGGGGGGGGGGGGCGGGGGGGCTGTCGGGGGCAGACGCACCCGCTCGGCGGCGCTCTTCATCCGAGCGTTCAGCCGCATGCGGTACACGGCCACGGCGCTGAGGACAACGCCGACGCAACTCAGGCACACCAGGTAGAAGGTGGACACCATGATGTCAGGGAAGACAGGGCAACGGCAAGAGGGGAAAAAAAAGGCCAGGCAACTTGAGGGGGGGGAGGGGGGAGGAATAGGCAGGGCGTGGCGAACATGACCGAGGGGTCGACGCGATCGGCCTCCCCCCCCCGAAAAAGCCCACCCCCGGCGCCCCGAGCCCCGATCGGACCCGGGCTAGGGCGCCTGTACGGCCGCCGGTCCGGCGCCCCGCCGGCAGCCACAGCCCGCGCACGCCCGTCTCTGGCGGGGGGAGCGAGAGGGAGATACACAGGGACGCGCCTCCCTGGTCGGTCGCCCGCCCCCCTCCCCCCCCCCCCCCCCCTCGGACACGACATTGTCACGGCCGCCGCTCGGGTCGATCCAGTCGGGCGGAGCTCCTCCAGAACCACAGCTGCCGGCGGACGGCCCCGGCCAGACACCGTGGGAAAAGGGGGCATGTCAGCTTGGTTTATTTGACTCGCGGTCGGGGGGCGGCGGCGACCGGTCCGGGCACGCGCGCGCCCCCTCGCTGAGGCCCAGCAGGGCATCGCACGAGGCGTAGATCGATGCGGCCGGCGGACACACCTTGTCCAGCAGGATGATGCCTGTGTCGCGCGGGGACAAGAAGCGGGAGAAGGGGGCGCCGGTGAGATACAGAGAGAAAGCCCGCGGCAGGCGCCGCCCTCCACGACCCTCGCCCGCCCACTTTCCCCCCCGGGCCAGGGCGCACCTTGGGTGTCGATGAAGGCAAAGACCGTGAACTTGGACCGCGCCACGCGCCAGGACCCGAGGAAGCGCCGATACGTGTGAAGGAGGGGGCCCTGGAGCTCGGCGCGTGAAATGACCGAGGGGAAGGTGCCATCATCTGCCGGTGGCATGTTCCCCCCCCCCCCCCGCCGTCCGGCGCGGAGGAGCGGAGGCGAGAGCGGCGAAGGAGGGGAGGGGAGGGGAGGGGAGGGGGGGCGAGGCCCAGAGGCCCAGAGGCCCGGGTGTCAGTACGGGAGTGCGAGACACGGGCCGGCGGGCATTCGTGGCACACGCACTGCGGAGCAGCGAGACCGTCTGGAGGGCGGCCATGACATCGCCATCGACCGGGGCCAGGGGCTGGAGAAAGAGCTCCGCCAGCAGGGGATACTGGTGGGGGTTGTAGGGCGGCGCGGGCCGGGCGGGGGCCGGGGCGCGGGCCGAGCCCGGGGCCGAGGTGCCGGCCGCGACGCCGGCCGCCCGAAGGGGACTGCCGGGCCGCGACGCGCGCGAGCGCGGCGTCAAGGGCCCCGGCACGGGCCGGCGAGCGTCCGCCTTGAAGCGGTGGTGCTGCGATTGGAAGGAGGAGTGCTGCCGCGAGGCGATGAGGGAGCTCCGCGCGGAGAAGGACCCGGTCAAGTGCCCGGCCCGCTCCCCGGCGTACAGGCGCCCGAGGCACAGCCGCGCGATGTGGACAAAGTCCCGGGGCCGGGTGCCGCACAGGGCCACATACGGGTCCATGTGCAGCCAGTCCACCCCGGGGAAGGGGCTTTCCCGCGAGTGGCATGACAGCCGGTCCCGGTGCGCGGGGCGGCCCGGGGCCGAGTGGGCCGGCGGCCGGTCCGGGCCGGCCCCCGGCCGCAGACCGGCCAGGCCCGCCGCCGCCTCGGACGGCGAGTAGTGGATGCATGGCCGATCGGCCGGGCCGAAGTAGCGCAGGCCGCCCGACGCGGCCGGCCAGCCCCGGACCCCGAGCAGGTGCGTGGACACGATGCGCGCCGAGGAGGACCCGGACGCGTCGTGCACATACCCGAGGCCGAAGATGCGCAGGGTGATCAGCTTCCAGGTGGCCGGGATGTTGTCCGGGTGTGCGACGTCATCCGGCGTGTGGCACTCGGCCACCATGTCCTCGGAGTAGCACCCGCAGATGAAGGGCAGCAGGCGGGTGCCGGGGACCACGCGCAGATCGCTGATCGAGGCGTTCACCAGCCGGAGGTTCTCCACGGTGACCGAGAATTCTGGCGCCCACGGCGTGGGGGCCGGGCCGGGGGCGGGGGCCGGGGGCGGCAGCAAGGGCGCGCCATGGTGAGGAAGTCGTCCCGGCCGAGGGCGGCCGCACCATCTTTATCACAGCTCGGTGCCAGGACCGAGTCGTAGGCCAGCACCAGGAAGGGCGAAGCAGAAAGAGGGCCCGCCGGAAACCCGATGCATATTCGACCCACAGTTGTAGTGGAATCCCCATGTGCACGATAGATGAAGATGCGCGTGTGAGACGTGGAAGAGCTACTACATCGAGAGAACGAGAGAGGGAACGAGAGCGAGAGAGGGGAGGGTGGGGGGGGCGAGGCGGGGGGTTTGCGCACTGTACAAAAAGTCGATCGGCTTCTTGGGGGTCGAATAGAGCCGGTGCCGGAGGCGCGCCTGCTCCAGGGCTCGGACAACGTACTCCGGCGGGGTCCAGGCAGAGCGGGCCTCCTCCGGGCGGTCGGCGTCCGGCGGGTCGGCCTCGGGCCGGTACCCGCTGCCCGGCGGGGGCGGCTGCCGGACGTGGGCATTGAGAGTGCGCGCGGCTGCCTCGGCCAGGGCCCGGCTGGCCCCGGGGGCAAAGCACGCCAGAAGGACCCGGCTGCGGCAGCCCTCGCCGGGCGTGTCGCCGGCGCAATCGCACGTCGTCGACTCGGGCCCGGGCGACATGCCGGCTGG